GTATATTTCAGCATCAACAACTCAATCCCCTGAAGACTCTAAATAAACTTTCTTTTGTTTAATTGTCAGGGATCTCTTGCTCTATGATAAGATAAAATCATCTATTGTTAGAAATCCTAGTGCATTTTCTGAATAAATATGAAAAAAGATATTTAAAGTCTTTTGCTTTGTTTTGTTTTAAATGGGAGGCCTACTATCATGAATCAATCCTTGCAGCTGCTCGTCTTTTAGATCTATGATTCAAAGACAGAAACACAAGTGATGACGGCATTGCTACTGAAATTGACCGGGCTTTCAAAACGAATAGTATAGTTAGGTCTTTGACCAAGACAGATCACTATAATTGAAACAGAAGACAGGTATTTGGCCCAGACATCCTGTTTTTTCACAGTTGGCCATGTTTGCCTAACATCCTTTACTCTAATTGCTTCTGCCTCCTTCAGATACCCCTGTTGTCCGGGATGCAAATAGGACGACTTTATTTGTATTTTGAAATATACCAAACCCTCAAACAAATCTTTGCTTTTTAGAAGTCCTGTCAAAAAGGTTAAAAAAAAAAAAAAAAGAATTTTTTTTTTTTTCCTTAAAAATGAAAGACGGCTGGAGAAAGGGTCAAGTGGTAAGGATCGGAGTCAGGGAATCAAGAGAAGCTAGGCCTCTTTTGCTCCTCAGCTCCCTTTTCTGAAAACAAGTTCTTTCTATATCTGAGAACTCTCCAGAAAAGAAAGTATAACTTCAGGTGTTACCATAGAATTTTCTTGAGTTTTGACATTTCTGTCTGTTTCTTAATAACTGTGAAGATGAAAAATCTAGAATCCTTCACTTACAGCACCTTTTAGCTACATTTATAACAAAACTAGAATATTAAAAAAACAAATTATACTCAATTTGGAAGACAGTTTGGTAATGTCTTACAAAACTAAATGTACTCTTTGCCTATGATCGAGCAATTGTGCTCCTTGGTATTTGCCGAATGTGTTGAAAACTTATGGCTACACAAAAACTTGCACACAGATGTTTATAGGAGCTTTATTCAAAATTGCCAAAACTTGGAAGAAACCAAGATGTCCTTCAGTGGGCAAATGGATAAATAAACTGTGGTACATCCAGATAATGGAATAGTATTCAGTGCTAAAAAAAAAAATGAGTTATCAAGCCACAGAAATATAGAGAAGAAACTTAAATGCATGTAACAAAGTGCAAGAGGCCCATCTTAAAAGGCTACATACTTTATTATTGTAACTATCTGACATTCTGGAAAAGGCAAAACTATGGAGACAGTAAAAAGATCAGTAGTTGCTGGGGTTTAGGGGAGAGGGATGAACAGGTGGAGCACAGAGGATATATAGGGCAGTGAAAATACTCTGCGATACTGTAGTGATGGATACAAGTCATTATGCACTGTCCAAACACATAGAATGAGTAATGCCAAGAGCGAATCCTATGGACTTTGGGTGATAACGATGTCAGTGTAGGTTCATCAACTGTAACAAATGGACCACTCTGGCAAGGTATGTTGAGAATGAGGGAGGATATGCATTTGTCAGGGTAGAAGGTAGATGGGAAATCTCTAGGCGCTCTACTCAATTTTTCAGTGACCCTAAAACTGCTCTAAAAATAAAGTCTACTAGGGCCGGTAGAGTGGCGGGTTGGTTAAGCACTGGCTTGGGACGCCAGAGGGCCCCGGTTCAGATCCCACATATGAGGGCCAGTGACACTGCCCTCCACAGCTAAGATGCTGCACAACAGCTCAACCTGGAGCTGGGCTGCCATGAGTCGCAGGCAACGACGTAGGCTGCAGTCCCTGTGGCAGTGGGTTGCCATGGGCTACCGTGTGTCGCCAGCAGCCAGCGTGAGCGGCCAGCAGCCGCAGTGAGCAGCCGTCCAGAAGCCGGTGACTGATCTGCCTCACCCGGGAAGAGCGCAATGATGGTGCCAACTTGGGCCAGTGAAGCAACGTCCTCCACAACTAGACTGAAGAACAAAAGGACAGCAACTTGTCTGTTCCCCTTCCCCCAATTCCCCAGCACTGTTCCCATCTCCCAATTCCCCAATAAAAATCTTTAAAATAAATAAATGAAGTCTACTAGAAATAGAAAACAAACAACTATGTATATATATATATATATATATATATATATATATATACACACACACACACATATATATATATTTGTTTTAATTTAATATATAATTTAATTTAATATATATATTTATGTTCTCAATAAATTATGCCTCAAAATGAAAGCATACTTCCATTTTCAAGATGGAAGAATAAGAAGATATTTTTGAGTGAGTGAAACTAAAAGGAGCAAGAATCTTAAAAAGTGTCATAAAGGAAAATAAACAAACAAACAAGAAAACTCCACATGTGGTCCATCTCCAGCCCCAGGAGTAAATAATTAGACACATAGATTTCCAGAAATGTTGATTAGCAACAAAATCTATTATAGTCACTGTATGAGATGAGTGCTGGACACTGGGCCTGTGGTCAGCAGGCCCGGATGAGAGGCACAACTCTGTCACCACTGAGCACGAGGTCCTTGGGTGGGGAACTGACCTGCTCCTTGACTTACAAATTTCAAAAAACAGCACTTACCTCATAGAATGAAATATTTTTCTAGAACGATATTCATAATTGTTAGTAAGAGATATAATGGTACAAGTAATGTACACATCACTTGTAAACTCTATATACAAAGTATTATTTTATTTATCGATATAAGTAAGATGGAATTCTTACCGAGGACAAATTCCAACTGAGGTTCATTTGGAGTCTTCTGAATATCTATAAATGATAGGTAAGAATTCAGATGAAAGATATTTAACTCGTTATCACAAACACATCAATGAATATTATTATGCTTCCGCCTGCCCAGAATGTATTAATACATTTTTAGCAAAATAAATAAACTCAGTTAATCAGGCTTATAAGAAGGGGGGAGGGTTCCCAGGGTAGGACATAATATTAGTAGCAGAATTAGAGGATTAAAGATTTGATTGATCTATTTAGCTCCATGGCCAAAAAGAATCTCAGAAATACTGTAAGTCATGTCAAACATAAAACATTTCTCAACTATGTCTGTTTGTTTCAGATGCATGTAGACGGAGGTGGAACCTTCAAAAAGGCTGACCTCACCAGAGTACTCTCCTACATGGGTTTTTCTTTCAAAGCACTCCAACCTGCTATAAATAGTAAATTATTAATTAAAAGGATATCTCTAGTTAGGGTACGAAGGACATTATGCTGGTGGTTATACTGCCAACTTACTAATAGCTCAACATGCTATTAAATGCTTCTATTTCTTTTGTTTTGAGATTTTTTTTTTAATGTAATACCATGGCTAAATGCTTTAAGATGAAGTGGAAAAGAAAGTGAGTCTGAGAGCAAAGGTAAGGAAATGGAAACATTTAAAGATTAATAGGTACAAAGAGCAGGCTGTGGTAAGTGATAATGTGGTAGATGCTCGAAGACCACATACAGTGCAGGGGCTTCTCAAACAAGAGTGGATGGGGACGGGGATGCCATTTGTCACCGCTCATGGGTGACCAAAGAAGCAAAACTAAATTTATGAAAACGTAAACCATTTGGGAATCAATGTAAGAATATTATACAAATCCTTTCCTTGTTTATTTTTACTAGTGCATTCATCCGATACAATTTAAATTTACTAGCATGTGGTCACCAATAATATATTGTTAGAACAACCTATTTGTATAAAAATCACCTTTTTTTTTAATTTACAGAGTTCACAGTTTTTGCATAGTAACCATTTATTTTCTTTTCCTGCCAATATTTAACAATGCTATGGTTAACAATTTGAGACTTTCCAAGAGAGGTGAGAATAACAATCATTAGGTAGGCCTTTGTGCATTTCAAATTGGGTGGATTTTCTTAAAGGTTATTAACAATTAACTCTCCTGTAAGCACTCATGACCAAATTTCTCAAAAAATGCATCTGACAAATACCATTTTCTAAAGATATTTTTATAATGTAAATTAAATAAGAGGCCAGGAATATGTTTGCCTGTGTTAATAACTGGGCAACAGAAATCTTCCGAGGGTGGGGTGGGGGGGGACAATAAAAGAAAAAGACACAATTCATGCTAAACAATAAAACCCAAACTCTAGAATTTTAAACATGAGAGAAAACATACAATTCTTCCAACGATTTTAATTATGTGAGTAGCACAAAACCCAACTGTAACATTCAAATGTAAATCTTGGCCAAACCTCCAAGCTTGCTCTATTTATGTAGCTCAGTGCTCTCAGGTATGGCAGTGACAGCCTAGGCATGCAGTGCAGCCATTTTGCCCTAACGCTTTCAATTTAAATGTCTTAGGTTTTAAAGAGAAAATGTCTATGTTCTAAAAAATAGCTCCACATGAGATTATACGAATGGTAAATAGAAGGCGGATTTGAAGTATTTGTTAGTGTCTTAATACACATTCAAGAACTTTGATTCTACTATTAGATATATTTTACAGTTTCATGGGCTATTATTTTCTATTTCACCAAAGATAAAAGATAGCAGGCACATCATAGACTCACAACACCATGAGTAGTGCAAAGGGAACAAAATTAGTTCAGCTCATGTCATTTGTTAGAACCCAAGTTTCTGTGAATTCACACGCGTGCGTGTGTTTAGTCAACCCAATTTGCATTGTCCGAGTTGCAAGGAGGGGCACACGCATACTTACTTGTCAGCGGGAAGTCCCCAGTATCATTTGCCTGGGGTGTGGGAAGGAAGTGCTGGCCTTCTTCTGACGCACCTTCCTCTTTGATTTCCATGATCAATGTTTACAGTTTAATCTTCCAAGTTTTCGTGCCCAAATGTCACTGCCAGTGATTCCTGGTTTTAAACAGACGTATCTCCGCACGAAAAACCCGATATCCCACTCTGAAAGTCTGTGTTTAGGAAACATCAACAGCAAAAAATCTCGGTTACTTCAGAGTTCAGTGTGAAGCTCAGAATTAAAGGTAGGTGGAGACTGTGGGTGCCTTCATATGAACTTCCTGCCTGCCTATCCCACCTCTACTTTCCGGACCACTCCACACGGTTAATGTACCACAAACTCGGGGTTAAATGGGTATTCTATCTACAGTTATTTTATGGTTCTATGAGGGCCTTCTAAATCCCTTTCTCTTCTAGTTGATTCTGTAAAATAGCACATAGCTATAGGGGCTGCTAACTTAAATGCATCTCATTTAGCAGCGAGCGTAGATAGCATCTTGTGAAGGCATTAGCATGCTTTGCCAAGATGACTATTACCATCATTCCTTCCTTTATGCTCATCTCTCCATCCACCCTCGTTAGAACATTATTCATGAGCACATAAAGATAACTTGGCATGACACTCTCCTTCCAAGATGAACCAACAGGTTGTGCAGGGGAGTTTCCAACCTCATCATTATCCACAGAGTCTCTTGCTGCTCTGCCTGATGAAGGTTTAATTGTTTAACGATTGGGGTAGATGGTGAAAAGAATGAACAATAATTCTTAAAAGCAAAAGCTCAAGGGGAAATGAAAGCAACAGCAAAATGAAAATTAACACGGGGAAAGGAAGCCTCTCCAAGAATGTAATACCCTGTTACACAGACAGCCTTAAATAGTTTCAAATCGGTTTTGATATTTAGCGTGATATACATGCCCAAGAATGAATTAGAAAAAAAAAATCAATGCAGTTTTAAATCAAGTGATCAGCTGAATTAAAATGTATAAAAATCTTTAAACGTCTACCCAATGCTGTTTAATGAGATAGCAGCAATAGAGTTTGGGTTTGGAATACTGATTTAGTGTCCAGCTTCACAACTCTACAGCCTTACTCTTTGTTGTTCTTAACAAAGCAGTTTCATTTATAATTCAGCTCTAGTTTTTATAGATCATCAGGCAAAAATTAAACAGAAAGCATCTCGACTCTTTAGAAAATAAAATAATAAAGTTGCAGATAAATGCAAATAAAATTGACTTCGAAATATAACCAGGAATACTTACTGGGGTAAAGGGCCATTGCATCATATATTAGGCCAAATCTGTCAATTCAAAACTTATATTTTGAATTAAGATAATGCTTTCGAATTTATTTGACTATCTAAATTTGAAGGTTTTTCCTGATAAAAACAGACATATTCATTGCACCACATTCTCTCAAGAACCTATGACAAATGCACTAACATTAGTGGGGTACTATCTGGGGAAGACTGCAATGTATGTAGGACTTGGATACAGGATTTGGTCAATTTCACTATATTTCTTGACCAAAGACTCAACCCCCAATCCTGATCAGTCACCTTAAAAACTGAACAGGAGACCTAAATAAGTCAATATCAATGAATCCTAACAAGATCATAACTCTGCACATTAATGATGAATAATTAAAAATAAACGTCAACTCTATGTGTGGGTGTGCATGCCCTAGTGTGATTTGGGGGGGAGTAGAGAGGATTGAAGTAAGATGCCTAAAAGGACCCATTAACAATGTCCCATTTTAAGTGTACTGTAACCCATTCAAAACTAGTTCACTAATTGAGAAATCACTTCTGGAGAGAATGGAGCCACATCTACAAAATAAGGATCATATGATAACCTCTTAAAAGTCTCCTCATTTTTATTCTACCTTTGTTGCATTTGAGGACAAATTTCTGACTTGATACTTGTTACCAAGGCACACACCTCAGAAAGAATCAGTTGTATTACCAGTAAATTTCTAGAATACTATTTCATTTCTAGTTGGTAAATACAACATTTACCTGCGGTTATGTTGGTTAGGTACAATACTTCCTTTTCTGTGTCTCTATGGGAATTTTTTTGGTTTGAAAATCATGCACAAGAATAGACTGAGGTTTTTGCATACCACAATGTATTTAAAACAGACAGCTAGAGACACTAAACTTAATTCTTAGAGCATAAAGACGCCACGTTACATACTACACTTTAAGCAGGAGAGTGACATGATCATATTTGATTTTTAGAAAGTTTACTGGTGTCAAAATAGAGAACGTAGTGGAAGGTGGCAACTTGATAAGGATACAAATTCTTTAGCAGTTATTTTAATATTCTAGGAAAATAAAATTAAAATGTAAGTTGAAGCCAAAATAAAAGCAAATGACTAGAGAAAAGAATCTGGATTCTAAAGGAAATTATTACATAGAATTAGCTGGCCTTGGTGACGGCAATAGATGTGATATTAGAGTTGAGAAAGATAGGAATTCAGGAGAAAGACGGTAAATTATGGACCAATAAACTACGTGTATTTGGAGACTAAAGAAAGAGGAACTGTAGTTAAGGAAGATGAGTTTAGTTTTAAATATGTTGTTTCTGAGTGACATCTTTACATTTTTGAAAGAAGAAAAAACTGTCCACCCAGAATTTCCATACAAAGTAAAAAATAAATTGTGAAAAATAAAAGAAATAAAGACCTTTATCCAGACAAAGAAAAAACTAGCAAAGGAAAAACTCATTATCAGCAGACCTGCAACTGTAAGAAATATTAAAGGAAGTTCTTCAACCATGACCTAACAGAGAGATACTTGGATCTACAAAAGCAATGAAGACCACGATAAATGGCATAAAGGAAAGTCAATGGTAATTTCATCTTTTCCTGCTTTTAGTGACTATAAAAGGCGGTGATTGGCACACTTTTTCCTGTTAAGGGCAGATAGTAATTATTGTAGGCTTTTCAGGCTACCCAGCTATGTCACAACCACTGAGTTCTGTTGCTGTATTGTGAAAGCACCACTGACAATACATAAACAAACAAGTTACAATAATACTTTATTTGCAGAACTAATTGGTATTCAGGATTTGTTCTGCAGACCACAGTTTGCAAATGACTGGTCTACAGCAAAAATAGTAGTGATGTATTCTATGCTCAGAGCATGTCTAAAAGAATAATATGTAACGTCGGTAGTAAAAACGGATGGGAAGGAGAAATGAGATTTATTGTTGTATAGTTCTTACAGCAAAAGTAGAGTATAGCATTATAGCACTAAAGGATTTGAAGGTAAACTGTGATTCATTAAATGTATATAGTAATTCCTAGCATAAGCACTAATCATTTAAAAAAAATAAGTATAAATAATAAGCCAATAGTGGGGATCAAATGGAATAACAAAATATGTAAATTGTAAAAGCAGGAAAAAAAACACATGAAATAAATAGAAAGTTAGCAAAATGTTTGTTTTTTTTATCCAACCGCATCAATAATCATATTAAATGCTAACAGTTTTCATGCAGGCGCGTGTACACAAGTACACACACACACACACACACACACACACATATATGCACCAATTAAAAAACAGATATTATCAGCTTGGATTAAAAAAATAAGACCTGACTATCTGCATCATAGTTATATTTAAATATAATGACATAGATAGATTAAAAGTAAAAGGATAAAAAATATATGCTATGCAAATATAAATCAAAAGAAAACTGAAGTGGCTATATTAATATCAGGCAAGATATATTTCACATCAAGGAATATCAGCAGGATATTATGTAATAGTAAAATGGTTAATTCACCAAAATGATATGACAATTCTAAATGTAAGTGCACCCATAACAGAGCTTCAAATTACATGAAGCAAAAACTTAAAGAACTGAAAGAAGAAATAGACAAATCTGCAATGTTCTACTTGGAGACATCAACATTTGCTCTCAGTAATGTATAGAATGAGTAGACAGAAAATCAGTGAGGATACAGAACACTGAACAACACTACCAACCACTGGACCTAATTGACATTTATAACACAATTCACCCAACAGCAACAGAATACCAAATTTTTGTCAAAATACAAAAATGAAACATTTACTAACATTGCATCCTAGCTCTAAAACAAACCTTAACAAATTTAAAAGAATTGAAATCAAAACAAGTGTATTTTCTGACCACAATGAAGTTAAACTAGAAATCAAAAAACTATCTGCAAAATCCCTAAATATTTGAAAATTAAACAATACCATTCTGAATAAATGCATATTCAGAAGTTATTCATAGGATACAAACACACCCACACACGAATCAGAATATAATCACTACACTACAATGCTTATATTCGGAAGGAAGGTCTCAAATCAATGATCTAAACTTTCACCTCGTAACGAGAAAAAGACCAAATTAAACTTAAAACAAGCAGAAAAGGGAAATAATATATGTAATAAACATAACTGATGAAGATTTAGTTTCCAGAATATATTCAAAATATTAGCAAAAAAACCCAATGGATAAAACTGTCAAAATATGTATACAAGTAATTAAAAAATATCAAACTCAAATTGCCATATTTCTTGATTTGAGACCTTATTTCCAAGTATAAGCATTGTAGTGTAGTCATTTCAGTCTGATTCAAATATGTAAGAGATTCTCTTACATAGTACATAAGAAGATAACTTCACTAGTTATCATGGAAATTCAAATTAAAACCAAATGAAATGTAAGTGTATAACCATCAATAAGTAAACATTTCAAGTCTCAAAGCATCACATATTGATGAGGAATTAGAGCAATATAAACTTCTATGCACTGGTGGTGTTCTAACCACAGTGGAAAATAATTGAGTAATGTCTAGTAAAGTTGGAAAGCGATTCTACTTCTAAGCTATATTCTAGAGAAATTCTTGCAATGCATACCAAAAGACAGAATAATGTTCACAGCAAATCAACTTCTAATAATAAAATATTGAAAACAGGCTAAATGTCCATCAATAAGAAAGTAGTTAAATATATTTTTGTCTATTCATTCTGTATAGTGGATCTACATTTCACATATCAATATTGATGAACTT